ATGGGAATATCCAAATGAACCGGGGGAAAGGATACATGCTGATTTCCTAGAACTTAATAAAAAAATGTTTATTGTTATAATAGATGAGTTTTCTAAACGGCCAGAAGTTATACCAATGACTTCAACTACTTCATTAAATACTATAAATGTTATGAGGGAATATTTCTCTAGGTATGGTATTTGTCAAACTTTTGTGACTGACAATGGACCACAGTGGACTTCTAAAGAATTTCAAACATTTATTAAAAATAATTGTATCAAACACATTTTAACACCACCTTATCATCCACAAAGCAATGGGGCAGCGGAGAATATGGTAGGGATTTTTAAGGATAAAATGAAAAAAATATTAGATAATACTCCTAATATAATACAAGCATATTGTAAATTTTTATTAGATTATAGAAACACTATTCACTGTACCATAGGTAAAAGCCCAGCTGAATTACATATGAATAGAAAACTAAATAGTAAATTTGATTTAATTATAAAACAGTTCAATAAGGAACCATACATAAATAATAATTTGGATGTAAAAACTAAGGTTGAACTAAGTCAGAATAAAACAAAAAAAATATTTGGAGGCAAAAGGAATGTAAATTTTAAAATAGGTGATACTGTGTTAGCAAGGAATTATAGTAAAGGACAAAAATGGATTACAGGAAAAATTAAAGAAAAAGTAGGAAAAGTAATTTTTATTGTGGACACTGAGTATGGGAAAATTAAGAGACACATTGATCAACTCTTACTACACAAATTTAAGGAGAGAGTTGGGAGTGAGAAAAAAGTTTATATAAATGATAGTATGGAAGTAAGGCGATCTAAAAGACATATTAATAAACCAAAAAAGTTTTTGCAATAATTAAAATTGATAAATTAATTATATACTTGTATTTGTTTTTTTTTTATGTATTATTATTATACCACATGTTAAATAATATTAAGAAAAAAAAATGTATTAATTTTCTTTTCTAGTATAATTTGTATTATTATTATTTGTTATTTTTTTTTTTTTTTTAAGAGTTTGTCATTGAACTATTTTATATTATTATTTTGTTATTAATATTATTATTATAAAAATTATATTATCAAATTAAGTAGAGAGAGGTGTGGTGTTGGCGACACTGTGATTGTGCTGCGGTAACGATAACCGAAAAAACGCAAGCACAAGAATGGAAAACGTTTTTACATATTATGATATTTTTTAAAATAAAGTACAATAAAGGTTCTTATACTAAAACATAGTTGTTTTATTTGTGTTAAATACGCGAGACACAAAAAATGGTATGTTAAACTTGTCATAGTGAACAGATACAATCAAAACTTGTTACATGCAGAAATCTTAAAAATATTGACACTTTAATAAAACTTCTAATTTTTACATTAGAAATGGAACACTTCCCTGTTCTAGACCATAGACCATAATAAGTGTTTTTTTTTTTGCTTGATTATGTTTTTTTTCGACGCTTTTCAAAAATATTTAAAAAGTTGACACACTGCACAAGAAACACACTCACAGATATCTGTATTATAGATGACGAACTTCCGATATCACTTGAAGCACGCATTGATTATGTTATCATTTGTCCACCATGTTTTGGGTTGGCAAAATATTGTATCAACACTATTCCCCACACCTCACAATATTAATTATACACTATTTAGTAACTAATATTAATTAAATATGCCTTTTTCTTATGTTGCATACGGTTGTTCAAATCGCTTTAAAAGTAATTCCTCAATTCACTTTTTTCGGTACGTATGAAGTATAGATAATATGATTTAAAAACACCTCAACATTTACATTTTTAATTGCAACGTATATTCTGTACAATTTTCTGTAACTGTATATTCTCAATTAGCTGAAACATTTCAGCCTCATTCGTGCACCGATCCCGAAAACGATACAATTATTGAAATTCAACAATTCCTATCAGCTTCGCTACCTATGTCGCTACCTGCAAAACCCATCATTCCTGGTGAAATGCAGTATTTAATTAAAAAATTACCTCCCGGAAAGGCGCCTGGAAATGACCTCATTACAAACAAAATTCTGAAAAATCTGTCTCTCAAAACTATATCATTGCTCACCCACATATATAATTCTATGCTAAGATTTTCCCACTTCTCTAAAATCTGGAAATTTGCAGTCATTATACTTGTACACAAACCAAATAAACCTAACACTTATCTTCGTCATATCGTCCCATAAGTTTACTTCCAGTCCTTGGTAAACTTTTCGAAAAGGCCCTCCTGAAAAGATTACGTCCCATCCTTCAAAACAACCATATCATACCGAATAATTAGTTTGGTTTTTGAAACAGGCACTCAACAATCCATCAAGTTCATCGTCTTACTGATGAAATTTCAACTACTCTCGAAAATAAAGAATACTGTTCTGGACTTTTTTTAGATATTGCTCAAGCATTCGATAAAGTCTGGCACGATGGCTTACTATACAAATTAAAACTTTTCATGCCAGCTCCCTACTATCTAATTGTCAAATCCTACCTACAAAATCGTTCGTTTGTCGTACGACAGGGGAACGATATTTCATCTACCCACCCAATATATGCTAGAGTTCCACAGGGTAGTGATCTATCCCCTGATCTATATAATGTATTCACAGCAGACATCTCTCAATCTAGTAACACCCTTCTGGCAACATACGCTGATGACACAGCTATTCTTTTCTCCAGTCCAAATCCTATCTTAGCTTCAGCTGAACTCCAGGATCATGCTAATAAAATTGAAGAATGGGCCAAAAAATGGAAAATAAAAATTAATACGGAAAAGTCTGTACAAATTACTTTTACGTTAAAACATTCTCCCTGTGAGTGCCCTCAATTAATTATGAACAACGCCCCCATCCCTGTCCGAAATGAAATAAAGTACTTAGGCATAACGCTTGATAAAAGGCTAACTTGGGGTTCCCACCAAAAAGAAAAAAGAAAATCATCGAACAACAGACTTCACCTCCTCCGACCACTCCTAAACTCCAAAATAACACTCCAAAACAAATTTATATATAAGACAATCATAAGACCAATCTGGTCTTATGGAATAGCAATCTGGGGTCCAGCAAGTCCCTCGAACATCAGGTCAATTCAGGCTTTTCAATCAATTGCGCTAAGGTTAGTAACCAAACTTGGAAAACAAACCCTACTACAGTATATCAGTACATAAACATTTATTTTATATATTTTAATTAATATATATATATATAAATCTATAATATAAAAATGAATCGCAAAATGTGTTGGTAAGCGCATAACTCAACAACGCCTGGACCAATTTGGCCAAATCTTTTTTTCAAATGTTCGTTGAAGTTCAAGGATGGTTTTTACGGCGAGAAAAATTAGAATTATTGCTGGAAAAACCCTAAAAATAGCCCTTTTCTTTTTCTAATACAAATGATTTGTAACTAAAACGTAGTACTATTAAAAAACTATTAAAAAACTATAAAAAAACTATTTAAAAACTATTAATTTTATTTTTGGTAGTAAATGACGGGTATTGCATAAATATTAAACAAAAAAAGATCCCGCAACAGGTGTCAAAACAAATAAGAATGTTAATTCGAAAAATTATTATGCATATCGGTTGATGATTAAACGCGATCAGGACAAAATTATTCTACGATATCATGAGCTTCGTCAACAATTCATGGTCGAAATGTATGTAAAGATAGAGAGCGAACGATTTTGATACTTGCGATTTAATTAAAAAAAACCTGCGTGCAAAAGATTCTCAAAACAATTGTTAGATATTGGAGATGAGAAAGTTACTACAGATGAAACGGAATGTATAAAATTACCGACCGATTTCTGCTTAATCATTTATTCGCAAGATGCTCTCATTGACTAGATATTTTCCAATGTACACAGACAATACACAAATCATGAGTGGCTGGCAGAAAGGGCAATTTCAGCAGTAAAAAATGTGGACGTCAACGAATTGAATCTCAAGATAAAAATTTGTTACCAGGAGACATGGTGTCATACAAATCTATAGATATAGTTTGCTATGCTACTCAAGCTGTAAATTATCTAACAGAGTTTTTAAATTCATTGGACTTACCAGGCATGCCATCGCATAATTTACAATTGAAGGTTTGTTCTCCGGTTATTTTGCTTCATAATCTGACCTACCACGGTTGTACAGAGGCACGCGATAAGTTGTTAAAAAATTAATGAAAAATGTTATCGAAGCCATAATTTTAAATGGAAAATTCCGAGGTGAAAATATATTATTACCGCGAATCTCTATTATACCCATAGATGTGCCAATACAATTTAAACGCCTTAAATTTCCAATTAGATTGGCATTTGCAATGACTATCAATAAGTTTCAAAGCCAAACGATGTCTGTAGCTTAGATTTGAGCACATCATATTTTTCACACGGATAATTACGTGGTGTGCTCTCGAGCCATCCAGTTTGTGTTGGCGAAAGATGGGATAACAAAAAATATTGTACACTCTGTTGCATTAAGGGATAGATATTGTTTTTTACTAATATTGTCATAATTAGCGATATATATAATTTTAATGGATCAATTTTAATAAATTATTAAAAAAATAAATGTTTTTATGTTTTTTCATTTTTATATTTCGTCACCATTCATAGCACTCCATATCTCTTTCTTACATTCTTATCCTTACCCACATTCTTACATGCCTATATTTAATTAGTTATTTTTTTCTAGCAAAATATTCTCTAGAAATAATTTATATGACAAAACAACGTTTGTCGGGTCAGCTAGTGTATATATCCCTTTAAAGGCTCATGACTCCTTTTGACATCATGTTCTTTAATGTGATATAAAATGATAAGTAATGGCCCTAAACATTATTTTATTGTATATTTGAGTAGGAAACTTTATTTTCTATGGAGTGGTCATACTGTAAAATCACGTTGTGTATTTTGTTATCAATAATTATCAATCATTCAAAAAAAAATGTTACTGTTTTTTTTTTCGTTACATGGTCGTGTTTGCTGTTCATTATAGGTAAGTAATATTCATAATTAGTGATTTTTAAAAATATTATTACGTTTCTAATATATAATTAAATATTAATTTTGCGTCTGAGAGCATTATGTGCCAAGTGAACAAAAATTACTGTGATATTCAAATGATGATCCCAAAACGCATCACTGGGTTATTTCTTTTTATCGTGTTGTATATTTAATGGAATTATATATGCCCATTGATTCGATTTGACATCATTAAGTCTTATTAGAAATATTTGCAGTTAATTTTTATTTTTTTTTTTTTTATGTAATTGATTATAGTTTTAAAAATGAGACAAAGAAATAAAAATAAACTGACTGATGATCAAATTGCAAATTATTTATTAGCTGGAGACACCTCAGATATTGAGGAATTGGACGAGGGAGATGATGTAAATTTAGAAAATTTAGATGAGATGCTTCATATGATAAAGGTAATAAATATTTAAGTAACCATATTATTATAGAGAATTAACAAACAAATGTGTTATTTTTAGGATGTCGAAAATGAAGAATTGTTTCTTGTTTCGCCTAAATTTAATATTTTTGAAATACTTGCAACCTGTGTGAAGGAATATAATAGCTTCATGGGGGGAATTGACCTGCATGACATGCTGGTAGAATTGTACAGGACAGAAAATAAAGTTAAACGCTATTATTTACGAATCATACACCATATTTTAGATATGTGCACTGTAAATGCTTGGTTACTATACAGAAGACACTGTCAGCAATTACACATAACTAAGTATCAAAGTATGTTGCAATTCAAAACTAATATTGCTGAAGGACTTATAAATGCTGGATTTAATAAAAAAAAACAAAGGGGACGTCCATCATCAAGTATAAATTTTGTAAATCCTACACCTCCTAAAAAAAGAAAAGTTTTTGCTGCTAGACCGTATGCTGACGTACAGTTTGACAAAATAGAACATTGGCCATGTCCTATTAGTGAAAGACAGAGGTGCAAACATTGTCCAGAACATAGTTATTCTAGAATGAAATGCGAAAAGTGTAATGTTTACCTTTGTTTGAATAATAATAAAAACTGTATTGTAAGTTTTCACAACAAATAACAAATAATTAAATTAATCAAATGCCTAATTCATTGTTATTTTGTATTTTACTGTATTTTATTTTATTTCATTTAATCATTACTTTACTCTTTTGTCTTAAGTATAGACTTATTATAATTATCTTATGTTTTTATTATATTGTTATAGTTTTTGTTATTGTTAAGTTTTCAGTTTTTATTTATTAGCATTACTTTTTTTTTTTGTATTGTAGACTGATTATAAGTATCTTACAAGTCTGAAATATTTAAGGAATTTTAAAATTTAATTAATTATCCAATTGTTATTTTAAAATGTGCAAACTTCCTGTTCTCATTTTATTATAAAACTATATATTTTGTTATAAAGTTATTAAGTCAATTTTTCATATATATATGAATTGTGACTATTTTTATTTGAAATATTTTGCAGTATTTTTTTTAATAAAGTATGTTGTTATTGTCTAAAATACTTAATATTATTATTCACCTAGAATATAATCCAAGCTACAAAATATCATGTTATCAAATACCCAGTGATCTCATTTGACATCATGTGTTTTTTGACTCTAAAAAAATAGTAAAAGAATTTTTTTTATTCAATTCATATTATTTAAGCCCTATTTAATAAAGAATTATAAAAAAAAAATTTTTTTTTCATGTCTTTCACTATGTGAGCTGGAAAGGGATATATATAATAGTTAAAACTAAATATAGTAAGTATAGTGATATGGTTTTGTGAATTTAAATAAGTCATTTTATTTATTGTATACTCATTGATTACGAGTATAATATAATCAATATATATTATATACATTATGTAAATAATCAATAGTGCAATTTTAAAATAATATTCTCAATTCTATAATGAAATTTAATTTTGATTAAACGTAATGAAAAATGTTTAATTTAATAATTTAGTGTGTTCAACTATTTTATATAGTGTAAAGTGTAAATTATTTATCAAATTTTCATGCCTTAAATATTAAATCAATTTTTATGCATTTTTAACTATAAAAATGTACAACTAATATTTTATGAGATAAAATCGGAATTTTGTAATATTTCTGGGTGAATATAAGTTGCATCCCAATATACCTTTTTGATGTAAATTGCGTCCCGTACATTTTTTGTACATGTGTAAATTGCATCGGTATTTTTATATTAAAATTTATATTTATATTCATATGATTTTTTGACAAAATAATTAATTTTATTAATTTTACAGGTTCTCACTTGTAGCTATTGTTAATTTTGTATCAGGAGGCTACTATGTTACCTATATTCAAAGGAAAAAAACAAAAATATGGGAGCTTCATAATGATCTGGCCAAAAAAATAACAATAGTAAAAAAAGATAATATTAGTTTAACGCCGCATATATTAATGCACATAAAAATGTAACATATTTTAAATTTATTGTATATTTTTAAAATTATTTTATAATTTTTATAATTTAATAGATATATAAGATTAACCTAAAAGGAATTAGGTTTAAAACAATTTTTAAAATAAAAAGCTATACCAGAAACTGAAGTTGTTATTAATAAAAGAACTAGATATTGCACATTACATAGTTTAAAATAAATTATTCACCATTAATAAATTGGTGTTCCTATATATTTTGTTGATCAATTAAATTGAAAATCCTTAAACCACAAAATATAATGATAATTTTATTTTCCAGAAAGAACTGACATGCAAAATGAACCATTGGCATACATATTTAGTTATTCTAACACACTTCTGCAATTTGTTAAGGTTATATAATATGAATACCTGAAACCAATTATTTTTTCAGAAATTATTGACTTCAGGGTGTTCAAAACTTCCCTCGAAAATCCTTGTGAATTAGGAATTATCATTTGACAAACATTTTAAAGTATCACAACAATATGGGTGGGCTATGTATAAAAAGGGAAAATAAGATTCTTACGTAAGAAATAGGTAATTTTAATTTGATCACAATTTTAGAATTAAAATTATATTCTTCCCAGTGGCGGCTCATGGATTTTTAATGAAGTAGAGCACATCCGAAAAAATTATAAAAAATATTATATATACAACGTTAAAAGTTTTTTGTTTTTTGTTTTTTTTACGTCGGTGGTCGATAGTAAATAGAAACACAATTGTTGTTTTGAATTTAAGATAATGACTAACATTATTAGTCGATAATCAGAATAAAATAAACAAATGAGAGTAAAAAAAAAACCTTATTCCGATACCGACGCGGTGACGTCGAAAATAATTCGCTGAAAACATTTTAATTGGTTATGTGTACAGAAATGAATGTGCACATCAATTTTATTATAACGCGTGTTGTGTGTTTTGACTTGTTTTAATTTTTACATTGTACAAATGTGCACAGCAAAAGTGTGCACTACTGCACCGCTATAACACACACACACACACACCGATACTGTTCCGTCACCGACAACTTTCTGCTCGTGTGGCTGTACCGTATTAGCTGTACCGACACATCCAGCTGGCCCTCCCCTTAAAAAATGTTGGTGAAATTTTACCCTGGGAAAAACAAACATGGGCGGTATAGCATTACCGGTTCCATTTACTGCTATACACATAGTAACTTAAACACCCCGTTCAGCTGATGTTAAAGCTCCTATCTGTTTTTTCCCTTTCGTCGCAACTATTTTTGATGGTGTTTGAACTGTCGTTACCCCTGTTTCGTCAAGATTATGAATATGTTGAGCTTCAAATTTATATTTTAATAGCACTGTTTGAAGCTTATCCATAAATAAATGTACATTCGCTTTGTTGAAATTCATGGCCCTGGATAAACTAGTTGCTTCTGGTTGCCTGAGAGAAAGACTAGAATTTCGTTTTAAAAATTTAGTAAACCAATCAGGCCCAGCCATAAGGTTTTTTCCCCATGCCTCAGGATACTTCAGACCTAATTTGTGTGCAGATTGATACGCTAGTTGTTTAATTTCACGGGGGGCGAGTCCAAAATACATATCTGCCGAATGTTTGATATATTGGGAAAGCATTTGTTCTTGGTCTACACTGAATACTTGGTTAGGCCCCTTATATCCTACATTTAGTGTACTGACATCATTCATCATTCACCATCATTCATTCTGTTTTTAAGTTTTGCTACATACCGCGACAGACTGACATGACACAAATCATATTTTTTTGCAGTACTTCTAACTGATTTATTCTCAACGATAACTTCATCTGCAGCAGCTTTAATTAAATCTGTTGTGAATCCTCTATTAGTTTTTCTTATATAATTTCTAGGCATATTGAAAGTTCTATAACAGTATAAATGTATAATAATAAATTAATTGGTATGTTATTTAAATACTATTCAAGTGTGACATAATTACTTTGTGAATTTGTTTAAAATAAATACTATGAAAAAAAATGTGTTACAACTAGCCCCAAACTTTTTGTTACATTGTACCCCAATATGACTTTTTTTATATTTTTTGTAATTAAAAAGGTTATAAAATACTTACGCTAATGAGTGATGTTGCAATTAAATCTCCATAACATTTGGATTATAGTATAACTGAAATTTGTGATAAAGTTATAAAATGTTGATAACAAACTAAAACGTAAGATAACGAAATATTTTCACTATTTAGTGATAAAAATAGTTTTATGACTGTTGTCGCTATAAAAATTACAACATGAATCTGAAAACAATAAAACATATGATAATCTTTATTTATGAATCTAACGCAATCTGTTAGAATTCTATAAAAACAATTTACAAATATTTTATGCCTATGTTACAACTAGACCCGGTCTCCTCTACACAACTTTAGCCTGTAAGATATTTCTCGGTTTATTAATTCAAATATAAACATATATAACTCTCGATGCCTTGGCCACACGATCCCGCGCGACACCAAACCATTGTCGATAAACGTTAGAAATCAAAAAAATGACAATAATAATAATAATATGGTGGTAAACAAAATAAAAACGAATAAAAACGGTCGGGCTTTGTACGCGTAATACGCATTCGGATATTCCCTATCGCACAATAATAATAATAATAATAATATGGTGAATATGTAATGTAATATGTTCGTGGACTACAAAAAGGGGTTTAGACGATGGGTGACGGCGTTAATAGAATTTACATACGGGGCAACGTGCCAGAAAGTGCTGTACGCCCGCTGAGCAGAGAAGAAGGGTTGTGTCGGTTCGCTCTCGAGCAGCTCGGAAGCGTGAGCCATTTTTTCGTCATCCCCCGCGCGTATACATAAATCGCGTCCGTAGACCCGGACGGGGTTGTCCAAGGGGGTAACGACGACTAGCGAACCACTCCGCTGCAATCGTTGAACGCAGTCCAAGAAAAGCAATCTGGAAACATAATCTCGAGCACGAGAAATCGGCCTGCACCGCTAACCAATCGGCCGTCCGTGATAACGTCGTCAAAGTCACCACCGAACGGTCGTCTTCGTCGTTTAGCATCACCGGCGAACCCGGAAGTTTCTCGCGGTGATGTTCCACCACCCACCGCTCTGAGCATTAAGTTTAAAGTCATCGGGTGTATACGAAGTCGATAGGTCGATTGGTCGCAGTTATATTGACTTTGTATCGATCGCTTCGTACGATTATTTTTTACGATTACGTTATATAGCTTTCGAATAATTATAAACATTCATCGTCGTTTTATTTAATAATTTACACAGAGTTTTTTAACGATTGATTGTATTACAAAATGTACATAAGGAAAGAGATATTCTACCCGAAGTGGGTTAAATAATTAGGTAAATTACATAATGTGTTGAGAAATATTTTCAATTTCTATTGTTTTTGAACGGTTTTGACGCTGACAATTTTAAATGCTATCGAGTGTTTTTGTTGAACAGAGTGATCCGAACACAGACGATCGGTGGACTTTTGAAATTTTGTTTCATTCCCTCGTTCAACACTATTATAATGCAATTGTATATATTAGTACGTACGGATAAATTTAACATATAGATAAGGTGTAAAAAAAAATTTCAACTTTGCAAATCCATGGATTTGGACCGCATAATGTTAATCGTAGTAGATAATGAGCGATTATAAATTTGATTAAGTTTTATCTTCGTTTATAATAATTTGTATAAACTTACTAAAGACATCTATTGCTTTGGTTGTACTTTAATATTCTAGAATCAATTTGAAGCGAGTCAAGCACTCGTAAGCCGCCTCTTCTTGACTTTCAAGTATCGTTTCACCGAAGCCAACAACCGTTAGTGCACAATGATTTATTGTAAGTTGAACACCCATAAAATCTTTTCCTGTAAGTATATAGGTAATAATATGATTTAATGTTACACTATGAATGTCGGTATGGAAATCGTACTAATCGTTAATTGGCAACATTCGACAATTTCATAATCCAATATTAACTCTTCTTCTTCAGCGATTTGTTGCAAAAACTCGACAGTTGATGGAACCGTAAGCATGCCTATGGTTTTCATTTCCTGTGACATAATAACAATTGTATACATAAATCACGTTTTACATTGTACGTATTACTCATATTCGATGGTTGTGGTTAAATAAAACGAATGTTATTACCTTCAATTTACGCACACCCGGATTATTTGATAATCGAAATTGTTCGGCGAGATCAGTGTTTACAGAAGCAAATAATGATTGTTTATCTTCATTAACAATAATCGATTCGTTTAGAGGTGACTCGTAATTTTCATTGTGGTTAAGGAATTTTGAAATTACGATAGGAAGACCATTATCGTGTTCTTCGAGTGACGCCGGGTGCCTAAAGACCTCATTACACGTTTTAAGTGTTGAGTCTTTGTTGACTTTTTCACATTCCATTTCATTGGCAAAAGTAAATGCTGGCGCGTCAACGAAATCTATGGTGTCCGGCTTTGAGTGGAATCCCGCAGACGTGAAAACACGTGCATCACTTACTATTGTATTACCTTTGAAATTCATTTCAGGGACATATTTTACCTCACGATCTACCGGGGTAATCCTTGTAATTGATACGCAATTAATCTTATGTTGGTTGTTTTCCGTTGATTCGTTGTTCAGTCCAGCTGACTGGACTTGGTTAGCTTCAATAGTTTTGTGACCAATGCTATCAATGGCAGTGGCCATAGAGAGCGTTTCATCGAATCCAGCCGACGT